GGCGCAGGCCGTAGTCATTCACCCTCGGCGAAGGATTTTTCTTTGTTCTGGTTCTATTCTAACGGGGTATTCTGGGCCGCGTCCGCCACAGTAATTTGGCGCCTCATTGAGGTGACTCAAGGAACTGCTCTGTGATCAGCGGAAAATCGGTAAGAACTAGGTTACCAGTAAGGGTTCCAGAGATTGTTTATTTCTTGGGGACAGAATCTGATGGGTTGGCTGCAGGGTCAAGCGCCCGGGGCGAGTTGATTGAATCTCGCATGTCACGAAGCCGGGCGTCGTCACTTCGGACCGTCTGGGAGGATAGAGATTGATCGGGGGCTTAGATGGCAGGTAGGGTCAATCAACCGGTCGGGTGAAGAACATCAAGCGAGGCGAAGGTGATGCCAGGGGGTTTATTATTGGGCGGGTCTGTCCAGGGGCCGGCGCCATCTATTGTTAGCCGTGGGTGGGCGGCGGTTGGCCTGGCGCGTTCACTGAGCGGCGCACAGCCGTGTCCGACGCGGATGTTTTCAGGGCGGTCCATTGGCATTGAGCATACCTTTGAATGTATTTGCTTTTTTCCCCTTTTCCGCAGGCATACGAACAAATACTCGATCACCTATTTTTGGTGCCTGAGTGATGTCTGTTTTGTTGAGTTTGTCGTAGCGCTGTTTCATTTTGCTACGGTAGCTCTCGTTGTTTTCTCTGACAATTTCTTGAATAATTTTTATGCCATTCATTAGGGAGGCTCTGTAATCGTCGATGTCAATTCGGTATGGTGACAACTCATCAGATGGCACCACATTGGATGGAAACGTAGGGTCGAATCCATGTAATATGAAGAAAGGACTCTCGTCCGTTGCTTCATGAGGGGAGATATTGTACGCATATACACGTGAGGTACGGCTTCGTCCCACTCTGACACTATTCCTCCTCGTTTTTTCAGCATTCGGAGAAGTGTCTTATTTGCTCTTTCGGTTACTCCGTTCTCCCTTGGATTATAGCCCTTTGTAAATGACTGTTGGATGCCGGTCACTTTACATAAGGCTTCCATAACATTGTTTTCGAATTCCTTTCCCTCTATCGGAGTGTATTCTTCTTGGCCATCGGCCACCCTTCGGCGATCCATCTCTTGAATATCACCTTCGCGATCTCTTCAGCAGACTTAGAAGAAACGGGATATGCTCCGAGCCACTTCGAGAAATGGTCGATTGATAACGACCAGATATCTCATTCCCGCTTGAAGAGGGTCCTACCTCTAAAACGTCGATTCCAATGACTTCAAATGGTTTGACACTTCAAAGGGCTTTCAGTGGTGGTGGCTTATTTGCGCGGTCATTTGTTAGAAAGCAGCTTCTGCATTCAGCACACCACTTCGCTACATCCTGTTGGAGGCCCTCCCAAAAGACACGCTTCTTCAGGAATCTGCCTATTTTCTTTGCGTTGAAGTGACCTGAAAAGGGTCCAGCATGCACTTCGTTGAACACTTCGAATCTCTTGGATTTGGGGAACGACTTTTGCAAGTGATCCATCTTCCAGGATAATGTGTAAATTGCCTTCATGAATGCAGAAGTCGCATACTTTGAGTTTCTTTGTTTGGCGTGGCAATTGTACCTCACTTTCAGTTTTACCTTCACGCAGTTTTTCTATCAAATCACTGTAGTCTGCATCGTTTTTTAATTCTTGAAGCCATTCAGACTCACATTCAACGCTGCTTACTACGCGGATGTGTTCTGACTCGTTTCCGTTAGGTTCACGATCACTCGCTACCAGGGTGAAAATCGTGTCGAGGAAATAACCGCCTCTTTACGACCCCCCTCCAAAACATGGACTCTGATACGACCCCTTTTTGTCCTCTGCACATCCGGTTTCATATCAAAAAATGCTAGTTTCAGATGTGCGAGAGGGACGCAGCGCCGCTGCCACGCAAATGCGGCTTGATCCAAATGCTAGATTCAATTCTGCTCAGATTAGGTTCTCCTTCTTTCCTTTAAAGACATTTAACCTTTGCCACATTGGCCGGAAAGTAGAACATTGAAGGAGGTACTGCCCCTACACAGTTGAACAGTCTCGCGCTCCAGTATAGCGGCGCTAACTACCCGCGATCGCGTCGCGCGCTGTGCCTAGAGCGCGCTAGTTGGAAAAATCGTCAAATGTACCCCCTATTCAAAGGACTATAACTTTCTTCATTGATAACCATTTCAGAAAGTGAAGGCAGCTTTTGAATGCACAAGACTTCTAGTTTCTAAATTGTGCTGAGCGTTTTTCTAAGCACGCCTATTCTCGAGAGTGGAAAACGTCGAGAAATTGTCGAGGAAATTGAAATTACATGCGAGTTCCCACTCTTTGAAGGCAGTAGCTGTCTTCATTGGCAATGCTTTGAAAATCCGAGGAAAGCGTTGTAAAGTAGAAGATTCACGCTTTCTAACAGGTGCTCCATTTGTTTCGAACGCTTTCTAGTTCGCGAGAAATCTGCGTCGAGGAAATGTCAAGGAAATTTTCGAAGCCACTCGAAAACTCTATTACTCCCTCGCCGTAGTAGGGAACTTCTTTGAACACCTTCAAAATACTTCTGTACACGTCAGTTCGATGGAGTAAATTGAAAATGATGCACTTGGCGCGGATCCATTCCGTTCTTGTATGCGCCATGCAGTGACCCCACTCGGAGTCATTGGGAAGGTGTCCTAGTGACGACTTGCTTAAGCACACCAAAAGATATTTCCAGTATTAACTAATTAGGATAACTCTTGTGGTCATAGTGATGTCTGATCATTCCTTTATTCAAATCGCTTCCTTTCCAACCCGTTCTGATGAATGACACGCTTGCGGTTGCAGGATCTGATGATGCCAAGAAGGCTGCGAATCTGCCTGTTTTGAACTTTCTACCAAGATGCTGTTCCTCCACTAAGTTCTCGAAGCATGTACATCATTCTAGAGTAGATACTCGCTGCCCTTTCCCTACGATTCTTTTGCAGGACGCGTTGCCTTCCTATGCCATACTGATCACTACGAACCAAACCAACACCACTTTCCATTTGAATTTTAATTCCAGACAGTGTAAGATATTATTTGCATTAGGCTAACTACAACACTTGTGAAACTAATGATGACAGCAAATAAGTGGCAGCAGCACCGTTGTGTCCGTTGATGAACCTTTTGATTACGACCCCCTCCCAACTCTCATCGGAGCAAATACGACCCCCTGTCGAGGATTTCCTCGACCGTTATTCACCCTGCTCGCTATACCTCGTGAAAGTGCGTCCGCTACTTTATTTGCGCTTGCCCTTCACGTACTGTATTTCCAAGTTATATGCTTGCAATTCGAGCGCCCAGCGGATGACGCGAGGTGACACATTGCTTCTTTTAAACAACGTAGTCAGAGGCTGGTGATCCGTTCGAACAATAGTTTTTGTTCCAAAAATGAAGAAATGGAACTTTTTGATCGCATATATTATAGCAAGAGCTTCGATAATGTGATAGCGTTGCTCTGTCTTTGATAGTTTCTTTGAGGCGAAGTACAACGGATGTGGGAGCTTGTCTGCCCCTTCTTGGCATAATACTGCTCCTATTCCGATTGTGCTTGCATCAGTGTATATGATATATGGCCTTTCACCTGACTTTGCTCTTTGTATATCTGGCTGTCCTAATACTGGTGCCGATATAATAGCATTTTTTAGCTTTTCAAACGCAAGATCTTGTTCACTGTTCCACGTGAACGGCGCTTTGGAGCTTGTAAGATCGAAAAGTGGTTTTGCTACGGAAGAAAACCTCAGAACGAATTTTCTGTTACCCGCACAGACCTAAGAATGTTCTTAGTTCTGCAAGATTAGTAGTTACGGATTTTCACCACCTTATCTGGGTCCATGTTTACTCCTTTTTCGCTAATGATATGTCCTAGGAACGATACTTGTCGTTCCATCAACAGACATTTTTGAGGTTTGAATTTCAATTTTGCCTTTCTGAACGCTTCAAATACTCTTGTCAGCATTTCCAGATGGCGTTCTTCGCTATCTGTAGCGACGAGTACGTCGTCAATATAGACGAATACTTCTTCTCCCTTCAGATCACCGAGAACACGATCCATGAGTCGCTGAAATACTGCCGGAGAGGTGCACAGACCAAAAGGCAGAACTAAGAACTCATAGAGACCTTCGGGAGTAGTGAATGCGCTCTTTTGTTGAGCATCTTCTGTGAGTTTGATTTGCCAGTAACCGGAGGCCATGTCCAATGTGCTGAAAAACTTTTTCCCTCCCAGGCTCTGCAGGAGAGTATCCGTGATTGGTAGGGGGTAAGAATCCTGTTTGGTATGTTTGTTTAGCGCTCTGTAGTCTATGCACAGTCGAAGCGTTTT